GGCCAAGTGATTCCTGCAGCTGTTGCTATTGTTGTGAAAGTCACTGGTCCACCAAAACTTTGTAGAGCTGATGAAGTTGGTGAAATATGTTTATACGCTAACAGTACCGGTTTCGCTTATTGGGGTTTAGATGGTTTGTCCGCAAGTACTTTTAAGGTATATTCTAAAAGTTTTTCTTCCTCTTACGAAGGCTTTAAAAGTTTCATACGAGAAATAATATCAGGTAGAACCTCTCGGTGCTGATGACAAACCTCTGGGCAATTTGCCGTATGTACGCAGCGGTCTGCTAGGGTTTCTCGGTCCAGTAAGTCTACATTTTCTTTTAGATGACGTAAAGTGTTGATCACTGTAATTATTGGTCTTCCATTCATAACTCTTTTTAGAATGGCTTAGTATTTGTTGTTGGAAGTCGTGCTTCTCAAATGCTTGTTTCTGGTCGTCAGCACAGTGCTGATGATATTATTGCCACTGTTTTAGCTGTCGAGCCAATGAAGTTTATTTATCGAGGTAAATCTCGATTCTTTTTTCTACCTCTTCCTGTTCTCTCGACTTTTAGCTTTCATTGTGGATTTAAAACTTTTCTAGGTAGGATATCTGTATTTTCTGTAAATGTTTTACGTGATGAACGAATATGTATCATAGCAGAGCAGAAACCAAATGTGGCTGAAGAAGACTCATTTGATGTACGTTTTTTTTACTTTTTGTCGTTTAAGCATTTGTTTATTGATCAGACTTCGTATACTGTTTATTTTTCAGTGGATGAGCAGGGTTCTTCAAGCAATTGACAGCATTCATCAAGTTGGGATATACTGTTTAGCATTAGTGCCCCCCAATCAGCTGCCAAAAGTAAGTGGTGTTTTGCTAGCAGTTTGTTTTTAATTAAAGCTCTGGTCAATTTATGCTTGTTTAAAGGCCTTCAAGTGGTTAGTCGCGGCTTTATCTTGCTTTGAATTACTGAATAAAAGTTTTGTAAGAATATACATCTTGTGAAATTGAGTTTCTTGGTCTTGGAAAATCACAATAGAACAATGAAAAGTATTTGTTTGTTATAGACTCCTCTTGGTGGGATCCATGTATCTGAAACCCGACAAAGGTTTTTGGAAGGTTGCCTGCACCCTGTAACGCTACTCATGTGTCCCCACAGTTGTGTAATAAATCTTCCAAAACCAAGAGAGCAACAGTCCGATATTGGGCCAGCAGCAGTTTTTGTTGGGAATATTGTTCAGGGTGTTCGCATTGCAGGCGCCAAAGGTCGAGACATCGGTCCTGATGAAGAAAAGGTTTTGAATTGTCTAGAAAACACTCAATTTGTTTGAGAAGTGTTTTAACTAATTGCTTTCTTTTATATTAAATTTATTATTCACACTTTATTGGCTTTGAACTCTTTTTAATTCCAGCCTGTGTCACTTATCGACGTTTTGCGACAGAGAGCTCAAAATTCACCTGACCACTCCTTATTCACTCAAATAAATGTTCGCGGTACGGAAGTAGACAGCATAACATGTACTCAGTTGTTAAGGAAAGCAGAGCGTATTGGTGCCCTTCTGGTTGACAAAGGTCGTATGAATCCTGGAGAGCATGTAGCTCTTATTTTCCCGCCAGGAATCGATTTGATTGCAGCTTTTTATGGATGTCAAGCTGCAGGTACTAATTTGGTAACAGAATTTTGTATACAAGAAGAGCTTATATTATCTATTGGCTTAGCAATTTTAGTTGATTATGAATCAGTTACTGTCCTCTATTTTTGCAGGTATGATACCCGTTTGTATCCGTCCTCCTCATCCTCAAAATTTGCAAACGACTTTACCAACAGTTCGTATGATAGTAGATGTGTCGAGAGCCGTAGTTCTTCTTTCAACGTCTTCTGTTATAAAACTGCTGAAGTGTAAAGAGGCTTCAATCAGAGTTGATGCCAAGGTGATTTGTAAAGTCGCGGAAAAAATATTACAACATCGTTTGCAAAATAAAATTTCTGATTTGTTATTCATCTAGATAGTCCATTTTTAGTCCGTTACGTATTAATTTCCTTAAATTTAGGCATGGCCGACTATTCTTGACGTTGACGACGTTCCATCGTTGGGAAGAAAAAAATACAGTCAAAATAGTATGGAAAGGAAGTCAACGGATGTCTGCTATTTGGTATTTCATTTTGATATTACAACTTGAAAATTCCTTTAACTTTTTTGAAAAGTATTTCTTTAGGATTTTTCTGTGAGCACCACTGGTCAGTTAGCTGGAATTAAAGTTAGTGTCAGTGGAGCTGCGTCGCTGTGTAAAAGTTTGAAACTTGCGTGTGAACTGTATCCGTCTCGTCATATTACACTTTGTCTTGATCCTTATTGTGGCTTGGGGTTCGCTCTTTGGTGTCTTTCAGGGTAAGTGGTGTATGAGGAAAGTTGATTTATTACAGCGATATACGTTTTATAGACAGTATAGAAAACGCTTTTCTTTTAGAGTCTATTCTGGGCACCATTCTTTTTTGATTCCCCCATCAGAGGTTGAGCAGAATCCTGCGCTATGGCTTACTGCTGTTTCACAGCAAAAAGGTATGCACCAAATATTTTTATAGACTTTATTGATTTTGATGATTTCTGTGAAACATTGAGTCGTAATTTATTTGTTTTATTAAACTCATGTTATATCAGGTGTAGTGTTTTGCGCAACGATTTTTCTCTCGATTAACTTTTAAAACTTTTTATTGCTGTTGCAAACTAAGTGTTCTTCAGTGCGAGATACTTTTTGTTCTTATGGAGTGATGGAGCTTTGTGTCAGAGAACTAGCGCCTCAAATTTCGTTACTTCGTGAGAAAGGAGTTTCACTTTCTTGGTTTCTTTACTTTTCTTTTTTTTCTCATCAATTACTTGACTCTTTTTGTATTATTTTTAGTGTTTCTATGACTTTCTTTAGTTTTGCTCAAAATGTAAAAATTAAGTTTGCGAACGTGTGTCGTTGTTGCCGAAGAACGACCACGAGTCCCATTGTGCACTGCGTTCACGAAGCTATTCGCTCCCCTGGGATTGAATGCTCGGGCGGTTTCAACTTCCTTCGGTTGTCGGGTTAGGCTCGTTCAAATTACAATAGGAGTCATCGATCGGATTCTCCACTCCTTATTTTTCTCCTTACTCTTCGTGACTTTCGTAATCTCTTGTTTTTTAGGTTAACATGGCTATATGTATGCAAGGTGCTGCAAGTCCTGACCCGGCTACAGTGTATGTCGATGCACGGGCTTTGCGTAATGATCGGGTGACATTGGTTGAAAAGGGTTCACCACATAGCATTGCTCTAATGGAAAGCGGAAAGGTAGGTAGAAGATAGGTGGGGCTTCTGAGAAAAAAATTGACTGTAATTCTGTATGTCTTTAATCTTTTGCTGCGTCACTACCTACCTGCTGTAGTCAAAGAAGAACTTCTGTATTTTTGAAGCTTTCTCAAACCGTTAATTTCAGCTGCTTCCCGGCGTTAAAGTGGTTATAGCGAATCCTGAAACCAAAGGCCAGTGCGCAGATTCTCATCTCGGTGAAATCTGGGTCGCAAGCAGTCATAATGCGACAGGGTATTTCACTGTTCACGGAGAAGAAAATTCGTCACACACTGATCATTTTAATGCTAGGTAATGCCTAAGATTTTGCTCTTGTCACAGTGGCCATTTGCGTGTTGTTGTTTTCATGTTTTAGTTATTCGCTGTAGATGATTTGTCTCATTCTTCTGCTTATTTAGATTAAAATTTTTAGGTTGACCACAGGAGACACAAAGACGGTTTTTGCACGTACAGGTTATCTGGGATTTTTGCGACAGACTCAAGCTATAACTGCAGATGGAGGTGATTTTTTTACTTTTAGCATCTGTTTCATTACTTTTGATGAGATTTGTGAATTCGCTTCTTGCACTTAAGAGTAATGATTATTTTTAAGTTACTTACGATTCTTTTGCTACTTAGCTGTTGTATACTCCAGCAGCTATTATAGTTTTTGAGGATGAGTAAAAGTAGGACAACTTTTCAGATCTTCATGATGCTGTTTTTGTTGTCGGCGCTCTCGATGAAGCACTGCTTCTGCGTGGCATGCGGTACCATCCTGTGGATGTTGAAGCTACAGTAATAAGGGCTCACAGGATGATTTTAGAATGGTTTCACTTTATACTTTCTCAGTTTTTTTTCTTAAAACATGTTTTTAGTCATACGAAGTGTGATTTGAGACGTACTATGTACACCAACTGTGACAGTTCTGAATTTCTGTGAGGTTTTTTAGAAGGTGTTCAAAAAAACCATTTCAGCGCGGTGTTCACATGGACTCATTTATTAGTGGTTGTTGCGGAAACGGAGGCCCCAGAAGCTGAAGCTTTAGATCTCGTTCCTGCGATAACATCCGCAGTGCTTGAAGAACAGCACCTGATCGTTGGCGTTGTAGTAATTACTGATCCTGGCGCTGTTCCCATCAACAGCAGGGGCGAGAAGCAGAGAATGTATTTAAGGGATGCGTTTTTGCACGATCAACTGGACCCAGTTTACGTAGCCTATAACATGTGAATCCCTCGTCTAAAAGGAAAATTTATTACCTTGTTGGGCTTTTAATTGCAGGATGCGGCGCCCTTATGCTTTCAGTTCTTAAAGGCGTTTTTTTTTGGGTAGGTTAATTTGGATTGAGAAAATGAGTTGGTTTTCTGCAACCCCGTTAGAAAACTGCGAAAACCGGTTCCTGAGGACTTCCAAAGAACCTGTAGTGGGTTAATAATTTACTAGACTCCGACTACTGTGGTTTCTAGAACTGTTCTAAAATTAATCGACAAATGTTTCATAGAACTGCATTGCTTCTCCCTTAATTGCTCTGGAATTTTAAGCGTGTACTTGTTTACCGAGTTATTGTAGAGTCGGGTTAAGCCTTTCTCTTCCATTTATTTCTGAAACATGTTTGATAAATTTTTTATGTTTTGTGTCATACTTTATCTAATTATCTCCGCGCTCCTGAATTTGTACATTTCCTCAAAAGTCCGATTGCCAACAATGTCATAAACTTGTTACATAATTTCTGATAGGTGATTTAGATCTCGTTACTAGCGTTTTGTTCTTAATTCTCATGCTAAGACGTTTATTTGTATGTTTCTTGTGCTTTGCCTCTATTATCTCATACTTCACAGCAGTAGCCTGATCGCATCAGGTTACTGGTGAAATTGCTAAAAATTGAACACTCTGTATTTCCACTGTCTTTTTCTTGGAGATCTGTAACGCTGTTAATATGCTTCTATGTACATTTCACATACTTCCCCACTCGTCGCCCAATAAGTGCTGCAGCACATCTGAACCACATGTGCTACGAATGAGCGCTCATCTTCGTCTTTCATAGTTTCATCAGGGCTACCGTTGTTTGATTCTCAAATTCATCAAAAAGTCGATTAAGGAGTTTAATTGTTGGACTCGAGGTTTGGGAAGATGAATGCTTGCGTACTACTAATAGGTTATAAATTGTATAAAGCAAAGCGGGTTTATAGATTCATTAGGTTGTATTGTTTGTCAGGAACTCCTGTACTTGGTTTTCCTCTTTTTTTTTTCAATTTTCTTTTTTATTTCTATTCACTGGTACTTTTATATTGAAAGTTTGCCTTCACTTTGCCAAACATAATTCCTGCAACTGTATATCTCTTTTGCGCTTTCAAAGGAGTGCTGTCTGTGAAGTTTACTTGTAGTATGTACTTAAATGCTTTTCATGACACATAATGGCTGATCACTAATACAATTTTTTAGCTACTCAAGTCGCTCCTAGCACTACAACAACATCCTTTTATTTATTTTTCTCTCTAGTCGGCCTGATTGGTCACCAGTGCTGTTGTTGACACAGTATAGCCACTGAACCAACTTTTAAAGATGATGTTCCTCAGTGCCACCATGCAGTAGTATAACAGTTTGTAATGGTTTAATAAGTAACGTTTATTCTTCCTCCAGGCTTTGACAAAGTAATAATTGTTAGGTCTGTATTTTAAAGTAGTACCTATTATTACTAAGCCACTCTTCCACAAGGTTCACAAGTTATGAGTAAGTTCAGAAGTCCCCATAGAAAGTTTCAAGCAACTGGGCTAGATAGTGCCGCTGCAGCTTTAGGTGCTGGACGTTGAGCTTTCGGACCAACAGTCTAAGCTGCTGTTGCCAAGACTTCAAAGATCAAAAACTTCTTCTAGTGGTTTCGCATTTCTTGATGAAGGGTCATAATCCGGACAAAATGAACTCCCTTCTGGAAGTCCCGAGTTCGCGTCGCTTTTTATTGAGGTTAAATCCTTCGGGATTTCTGGAGTATCACGCAACCAAAAGTCGCCCAGTACTTCTTGAAAAGTAGGCCGGCGGTCAATTTCCAACGCCATACACTTCGTTATTAATTCCCTTAGCCCTGAAGTGACAGAAGAAGTATTAGAAAAAATTAGAAATTCCAGCAAAACTTTTATGTTTCTACGTCACTAAAATACTCAACCTGTTGTTTTTCGAAGTGAGTTACCTAACTCATTTTGAAAAGATCATCTCATGAAGCGTAAAAAACTTTGATTATTTTAATGGCAAATTTTCAACGTCTCGTTCGAGCTCCTGACGGACTGTCTTGGTCAGTGACTAGAAGAGAACAAAGGTAAAAGTCAAAGCGCTCCGTTGGCGGACATCTGAAACGAAAATAATTTTTACCTTTTGAAGTTCTGGAAGGAAACTTCTTTGGGGGGCTTGCATCCAGGTCGGCGGACGGCCATTTGTTCGTTAACAGAGTATACAAATGTTGTCCAAGAATCCAGACCATAAGTTTGGACGGTTTTACATGTTTATGAGCTTCTGGGGGGATAGAGCCGAATATATTGTCTGAAATACTCGTCAAAGTTTTTCAGTGAAATTTCCATAGACCTAACAACCAGAAGTTTCGCGTTGCTAGTGCACCACTACAAAAGATAAAAGCATCTTGGCTAGAAATTTGTGATCACTGATACAGAGAAGGCATTTCACAACAAAAAAGCATACTTTGCACTAATAATAAGCAATAAACTCCTATCTTCTAATCTTTAACAACACAAACCTGCAAATTTGCGCGCCTTCATATGGATATCCTCAGCGATAGCAACTTGGTTGAAGTCAATCAGTTTTATCTCTCCTGTTTTGGGATTTATCAGTATATTATTAAAATGTGAGTCTACGTGGTAGACTTTTTTTTCCGCACAATGCATGAAGATTTCTACAAGCTGTAAATAACTTTGATAAGCTATTAGGAAAGAAAAAAAACGTAAATCGGAGTACAATAAGCCTAGATATAAACAACACTTCGGAGTGTTCCACACAATATAAGCTTTATAAGAGTAGTGAAGTCGGGAACTCATTTAGACTGGTGGCACTATTTTTCCTCTCCGCCCCGGTGGGCAGGGTCCTCAAAGAAACTGTCCCCACCGGGCCAGAGATGAACCACTGGCCCAAGCAAGGTGCTAGCGAGTAGCACCTTGCATGAGCTAGCAGGATGCGCGTTAAGTAAGAGACGCATACATCCCAAAAGGCTTTATAACAAGAAACGATCGTGGCGGAGCTTATCGGATTGCCAGTTTCCCGGCGCATGTCCAGTGCAATTTGGTCGTACACTGGCACGCAAATTTGTGTCTTGCAGTAAGATAAATAAAAACTTTTGGTTTCAAAATTATCCTTTTAAAAAATGTCCCAACTTAAAACCCCATCTTTTTCTTGCAAACCCTCTTTTTGCATCAAAAATACCTTCTCCGAACACTACCGTCTTTATTATTATCAGCAGTTAGGGTCATACCGCTGCCGCAAAAACAAACTCGCTGAAGAAAAAACCCCAAGCATTAAAAAAAATGCTCAAACTCTTCATGAGGAAGTGTAAGCTTCTGAGGAAGATTCCGATGACCGAAACTACGTAAGCAATCCATTGGAGTTTAAGAAAACGCAAACCGATTGACACTTAATTGGTGGAAAACAATGAATAACATCCAAGAATAGCGGAAGGTAACTTTCAGCCCCCGGGATTTGCAAACACAAATAGAAATTCTGAAGCTTCACCAGCGAAAAACTAGGATATTTGCTGAAAATAGAACCAGCAACCACTACGCGACACGCTAGCTCACAATCACCTGCACCAAATAAAAGCTCGAGGTTGCAGCATTTTAAGGCATATTTGAAGTTTTTTCCGCAATTAGGTAGAAGAGAGAAAAAGGAAGAATGCTTCCTGAGCTCCGCTCGCTTCACTTGCCTTTCCCTCTTCTTTAGCTGTGTTGGAGAAAAAGACATTTGCCGTTTTCTTAGCCTTCTCCCCCTCTTCACCAAAATGCATTCACCGGACGCCTCACGATGGAAGGGACCATCTGACGCCCAGTCAGTTGGGTAAACCAACAAATTTCATTTTCTTCCGAATCCAGAAGAAAATTTCCAGAACGCCATCATTTCTCGAGTTCCCCATATGACTGTATGCAACAAACTCTAGACGGGTTGCACAAGCTTTGTCAGAGAGGTGAAGAGGTATCCCTCATCGTTAACAGGGAATTATCAGTGATACATACTGTATATGGCATCCACATAATGTACAAAAAAAGCGGGCTTCTGATTGGCATCATCTCCTCCAGCCAATCAGCGCGACGGGGCCACCAGTCAAAATGAGAGCCTAAATTCGCTGATTTCTTTGGAAATCTTCTCAACTGAAACCTCTTTGATCAGTCTGACTTCCCGACTTCCATGCTCACATTAATTTTTTTTTTTGGAGTTGAGAGGAGTATGAGGAGAGGAATGGGCAGCGTTAACAGAAATGATAAGACAGCAAAATTTCATGGCCATCCAAATCAGCATTTAAATTTATTATAACC